TTATCTTAGAAGACGCCAGTATTGATTTTACCTTGCACGTCATCCTTTTTGATAAAAAAGGGACAGTGAAAAAACATTCTCCGTGCCGAATCCTATTTCTAATTCAGCAGCAGGTTTAAATAATGAACCGTCCTTTTATTCCGTGCTCCTATTAGCCTCATTTGCTGACATCCACAGTCATACGAAATACAAGCAAAAAGTAACAATCATCTATGGATGATTGCGATGTGGTGATAACTCACATGGGGCAGACCTATCGTACAAAAAGTAACGTGATGAAACCGAAGAAGTGACAAATGTCGACAGGATGGAGGTCTGCTCATGGTGAGACAAATCCTGAGCGACAAGAAGAGCGGACTGTCGCTTTCACCGAAATGTGTGACACTTGCTGTCAAATATTTGAATCATGTGTTCCGTGCTAGCACTAACATTTTGGATGGCTAATAGCTCCAGTTCAAACGATTTGCCATATAGCTCTGGTTGATGAGATCGAAGCAGGTCTCAAATTGACAGTGACCCTCCCAATCCAATAAGACTGTCAACGTTCCTTGTCGACTTGTCAGACCGGCCTCTGACACATGCTTATTACAAGAAATCTTGTGCTCGTATCTTCAGTGGATGCTAGACGGCAGGCCTACAATTCACATAATCTTTATTGACAGTATTGTATTATGTCCTATATGGCCATTAGGGCACATTCATATCATCGACACACATGTCTTCTTGTGTGGGACTTTCTTGTTAGGGTAATTTCATGTGATTGTCAAACAATTTGTTGGTGATTTTCTGTATGCTGTGGCTAATGTTAACTTTTAGGTTCATTAGTTTCGTTATGGTCTGCATGAATCCCATTTAGATCAGTGTTGAGTACAGTTCAGATGATTTACAACCATCGTCATTATTTAAAGGGCCGTGGGGTGGCACAGTGGTTAGTGTGTTTGCTCTGATTGAATTAGGAAGGTTTGAATCCCAATAAGGGTAATGTATGGTTTAGTGTCATATAATCTGGCTATTCTCACATTGTCACCACAGTTAGCTGGCCAGACTGTCAAACTTTTTGCCGTCATCATTTTTGATGTGACATCACAATCATCATACCTGACTCAGTGATTAAACGATGAGGTTGAAATTACATTCAGTATTACTGCCAGAAGTCAATGCTTCCATACCAATCTTGCCCAAATGATGTAAAGTCTAATAATCCTCAAGGGAAAAAAAAAGAAACTTGTGTTTCCCATTTTCTGCCAACCCTTGCCTGGAGCCACCATTCTAAACCTTTCTTCTCACTTATTTTTGTTGCACCATATTTTTTTTCACATCCCCATATTGTCTATATTTTATGACACTAGTATTCAGGGATTGAAATTGGCACTTGCCCGCAAGCCTGGACCAGTTTTGTTCGTGTTAAATGTATCCTAAGGGCTTGTAGAATTTCAAACACTTGGGAGGTGTTACTGTATAGTGTCACTGTTTGGGCTAGTAGACATTCTTGGTTAATTTCCATTCCTGGTGTTTATTGACCGCCTCTGTGGTCTAGTGGTAGAGCGTCCGCCCAGAGAGCGGAAGGTTCGGGGTTCGATCCCCGGCCGCGTCATACCAAAAGACGTTAAAAGATGGTACTTGTTGTTACCCTATCTGGCGCTCGGCATTAAGGGGCTAAAACAAGGATTGGTCAGCTCGGAGTCAGTATACTGTGTCTGAGTGGGATATTCATGTTAAACTGCGGCATGGTATCTCAGTGAGCTAGCACTATAAATCGGCATCAGTCCGGACTAGTACAAGCAGCCACACACACACATACACGTGCATGCACGTCGCTATATAAGTGCAATAATCTTGGACGCGACGTTAAACCCAATTTCACCTCACCTCACCTGGTGTTTATTTGTTCTGCTTCACAAAAGATAAACCATTTATACAACAGAGAAAGAACAACCCAGCCTACCTACCCTATGTCTTGATGGGCTGGAATAGGAAACACACCTTTGTTTTTGGCTTTGGTGTCTGACCCTGGGTTGAACTGTTTTGGATATAAGAAGGGGAAAAAGCATGTGGCGTCCAGGAGAAATATTGTCTCTTCTTTATTTTGTAATTGTTTGTATTATTAAAACTGGAAAAAAACCATCCATGAGCTCTTCAGTTGTAACTGTTAGAATAGGTCTTCAGCAACCCTTGCTTGTCGTAAGAGGCAACTATGCTAAGAGGCGACTAACAGGAACAGGTGGTCAAGCTCGCTGACTTGGTTAATGCATGTCATTGTATCCCAATTGCATAGATTGATGCTCATGATAACAGTCACTGGATTGTCTGGTCCAGACTCAGTTATTTATAGACCACTGTCTTGAAGATGAATATTGCTGAGTGGCGTTAAACAACAAACAAAACACTTGTAACTGAAAAATCTGGTGAATAGATAATTGTTTTGTTGTGGCCTGAGGGTTGAGTGTACATATCGGGTTGATCATTGTATCCTCAAATTGTTGGAAACACAAACACCACTGCCTGAAGCATGTGCTGGCAAGTCCCCAGTCAGTAAATATTTCATTTATGTAATGCATCATAAAAGTGTAAGCATGTTCGAGTGTTTTCAGGGTCCCTGGAAGTGGTCTGTGTGATAGTAGTTAATTACAGAGACTGACTGTGTTCATTCTAACGCACTCGCTCTGCTGTACAGCGCAAGTAGTTATCGGGACAAGATCTGTATTTAAGTGGGCATGGTTAACTTGTCCTTAAGCAATTAGCAATCTACATATTGCTTTCAGATGCCATTACTGTACGAGAATCCACTCCGCTTAAAATGACTGTGGTCTGTGCCAATTAGCAGTGATGCTACTATTTTCACAGTCCGATTTGTTCCAATAACCGATGGCTCTAGCTGTGGGCCTTAGTTCTCCGACAACTCGGGGCAATAGTCCGCTCGGTGTTGCAAACATTCCACTTCCTGTGCAGCATTGTGGGTCACCAACTCATGACTAGAGTCAATGGAGCTGTAGCGTGCATTACCAGACAAATTGCCACCACTAATGCAAGAGATTGGCACTGGTTCTAGTGGAGACGTTTTCTGGCTCTTGTTAACCCTGCTTTTCAGGCAAAAAGTAATGCAACTGATTTATTTATAAAGTCCAGTTTGTATGACGCCAAGGGTTTCTTATTTGAAGGTTTAGTTAGGGTTAGACTATTATTTGTTTTATGGCTTTTTCTTTCTGAGAAAAGTTAAAGGATGTATGCAACAGAATATTAACTTTTCTCACACTTATAAAAGATAACAATGTAGACAAACTATCGACGGTGAGTATTTTCCATTGCAAGAAGGTTTTGACTCTGACAAATGGGTTGTAGCTTTTGTCTAGACACTGTTCAACTTTTTGACAGAGATAATCTTGGTATTTCCCCTGATTTCATCTGATCATTGCATGTACAGACTATTAACAACTCTGATTACTTATGCTTAAGGGCAGTGAGCTGTGATTACTTATACCTAAGGGCAGTGAGATATGGTTACTTATGCCTAAGGGCAGTGAGATATGATTACTTGTACCAAAGGGCAGTGAGATATGGTTACTTATGCCTAAGGGCAGTGAGATATGACTACTTATACCTAAGGGCACTGCAATATGGTTACTTATGCCTAAGGGCAGTGAGATATGACTACTTATACCTAAGGGCACTGCAATATGGTTACTTATGCCTAAGGGCAGTGAGATATGGTTACTTATGCCTAAGGGCAGTGAGGTATGATTACTTATACCTAAGGGCAGTGAGATATGGTTACTTATGCCTAAGGGCAGTGAGATATGATTACTTATGCCTTAGGGCAGTGAGATATGGTTACTTATGCCTAAGGGCAGTGAGATATGACTACTTATACCTAAGGGCACTGCAATATGGTTACTTATGCCTAAGGGCAGTGAGATATGATAACTTATACCTAAGGGCAGTTAGACGTGATCACTTATGCCTAAGGGCAGTGAGATATGATTACGTATGCCCAAGGGCAGTGAGATATGATTACGTATGCCCAAGGGCAGTGAGATATGGTTACGTATGCCTGAGGGCAGTGAGATATGGTTACTTATGCCTAAGAGCGGTGAGATGTGGTTACTTATGCCTAAGGGCAGTGAGCTTTGATTACTTGTGCCTATTGGCAGTGAGATATGATCACTTATACCTGAGGGCATTGAGATATGATTACTTATGCCTTAGGGCAGTGAGATATGATCACTTATACCTAAGGGCAGTGAGATATGATTACTTATGCCTAAGGGTGGTGAGATATGATAACTATATTTAAGGGCAGTGAGATATGATTACTTATGCCTAAGGGCAGTGAGATATGATTACTTATGCCTAAGGGCAGTGAGATATGATTACTTATGCCTAAGGGCAGTGAGATATGATTACTTATGCCTAAGGGCAGTGAGATAGCCCAGTGGTTAAAGCATTTGGTCACCAGGGTTCGATTCCCCACATGGGTACAATACTTCCAGTCAGTTCTTGGCACCCCCTAGAAGTGGCGTTACCTGGCCTCTCTATGAGCACATCTTTCACAGGTGTTGTTGTGCAAGGTGATACACTGACCGGGGGTTGTTTTCTCATGACTGCTACACCCCTGTTTCACACCTGAACGTTGACTTTGTTGGAATGTTATGGTCGACCTTTCAGACTTTCGGAACCTGCTTCTTTGTTTCCCTGCATTACTGACGTGCCAAGGGATGTATAATAATGCAGTGATGGTGTTCACTACACATTGTTGCAATGAATATGTGCGTTTTATTTCTTGTATCGTGTACAGAACTCTTTCAGGACTTTGTGTTATTAGTTAGTTAGCTTCTTTGTTTATCTGTAAGCCTGTGAGCTGTTTCAGTTGACTTTTTGGGAACACGATGGAATTTATGAAAACATGCCACTTGTTCCAACTCACTCACTCACTCACTCACTCACTCACTCACCTATTTTTGCTGGAGGTTGGTATGTCTTACAAGATTCCTCTTCTGTTTCAGATTTCCACGTGTCTTATGATGTTAGTGTCAATCCGTCCGTCAACCACCAGCTTGTGATAGAGTATGAACCTCTCACCAGACATCGCTACCGACGCCAGGCTGCCGGCAACGTATCTACTGTGCCGCCGACCCCTGTAATCAGTAATGCCAGCACGCCAGACGCCACAGTCGCATCAACAAACGTAAATATTTTCTCTCACCCACCCTACATGGTATATCCTGTATATCTTCTCTTGATTCTGTAGGTAACAGTGGGGTAGCCTACTGCTTCAAGTCTTCATTCATTTGTGTCGTAAATGATATCAGTGAGGAGAGTAACTGCCTACCTATCAAGGGGAAAGAAGTTTAGTCAAGTATTTGAAAGTTTGGTCATCTGGGCTGTACATGCAGTCTGTGACTTTATGAACTTGCCAACGTCTTGTAAAGTACAGATTGGTCTATGTGATAAGTTGATATCACTACAATGAACTAAAAATTATGTTGAGAAACAAGTTCGCACTTGTAGAATCAAACAGTTTTGGCACAGACAATACATGGTGTAATTACATGAAGATGTTGACTTCAAAACCTTGTGTTCTGATCTGGGGCACAGGTGGCACAGGTGGAACAGGTGGCACAGGTGGCACAGGTGGCCCAGGTGGCCCAGTCGTCTAAGGCGCCGCAATTCGCTGTGCAGTTGTGCATCCCTTTGGCACGCCAGAAACCTGTCATTGTGGGTTCAAATCCCGTATCACCCCGATTATGTTTGAAGGTTTGTCAGCACTATACCCATGCTTGTGTGTTTCACCAAAGTGGTAAACATCTGAGGCCTGGATCGCTTTCCTCCCACATTAAGCGGACACAACATGATATAAGTGGAATACTGTTAAAAGCAGCATTGAACCCAACTCACTCACTCACTCACTCACTCACTCACTCACTCACTCACTCACTCACTCACTCACTCACTCACTCACTCACTCACTCACTCACTCAATTATCAATCAATCAATCACTCACTCACTCTTACATTTAAACCAAATACATGAGGTGGGAGATTTATGCAAGCGTCAACGTGTAAAGGTATTGTTGTGAAAATTGATAAAAATCAAGTATCTTCAACTGGAGGGGGCTAACTCCAACAGCTATCCATGTGTCATTTAGGGGATGATGCTCCTTCCTTTGCCACTGTGCAGGGGTGGGCAGTGGAGTTCTGGGGGGAAGAGAGCCACGAAGATGATTCAGGACCTTCGACTGGAAGGGCTAACTCCAACAGCTATCCATGTGTCATCTAGGGGATGATGCTACTTCCTTTGCCACTGTGCTGGGGTGGGCAATGGAGTCCGGGGGGAAGAGAGCCATGAAGATGATTCAGGACCTTCGACTGGAAGGGCTAACTCCAACAGCTATCCATGTGTCATCTAGGGGATGATGCTACTTCCTTTGCCACTGTGCTGGGGTGGGCAGTGGAGTCCGGGGGGAAGAGAGCCAAGAAGATGTTCAGGACCAGGAAGACCTTCAGCTAAGTGAGTGAGTGAGTTGGGTTTAACGCCGCTTTTAACAGTATTCCAGTTACATCACGGCGTGTCAGCTTAATGTGTGAGGAAAGCCGGAAGTGATGCAGGTCTTAGATGTTTACCACTTGGTTGAAACCAATGAGCACGGGTATGGTGCTGACAAACCTAGAAACATAATCGGGGCGAACCTGGATTCGAACCCACAATCATAGGTTTCTGGCGTGCCCAAGTGACGCAACTCTGCACAGCGAAACGCGGTGCCTTAGACAACTGGGCCACCCGTGCCCCCCCCCCCCCCCCCATCACTAAGGAAAATGTTGATGAAATACATATGATTATGGATGACCGACGACTGATCACGTCACATACCAATGCAAGAGGCTTCTCTTGTGAGAAAGTTGAGAACAGTCTGAGGAATGAACTGGGCATGACAAAGGTTTCAGCTTGCTTCTTAGGGACCAAATATTTGGTACCTTTTGGGGGCCTGGGACTTACATATGAAAAAGAACATTTTGTCCCAGAAAATTCTTTGAAAAAAGAACGAACTTGTCTGCCACAAAAATGACATTGATGCTAGATGTTTTTTCTCTGATAAATATTCAGGCTCATAGTTTTAGTCTGGTTTTGCAGCTATAACTGTAAAAATATCTAATCGCCAGACAAAATCCCCCCTTCCCCCTCAGTCCTGATTAGAAACACTCCACGTTCATCATCGCTTATGAGAATTTATGGGAATTCTAAGCAGACTCAGCTGATTCTGTTGAGGGTTTGTGTAACCATGGATGAGTCTTGATTTCACCACCGTCACAGCCAGAGACAAACAACAGTCAACGTGGTGGAAACATCTAACATCTCAAATGAAGAAGTCAAAGTGATAGCTTCGGTATTGCAAAGGAATACTTCAGGTGGACAGGTCTCCTGAAAGACAAACCATTAATGGCCAATATTACGTTAATATGCTTCTGCAACTCCATCACATATCTTTGCTGATCGCGGTGGAAAACTCACAAAAGGTGTGTTGTTCCTCCAAGACACGGCACCTGTGCACAAGTCTGTTGTTACCATGGATGCAGTGTATGACATCTTCCATATTCACCAGATTTGGCACCATCAGATTTCTACCTCTTCCCAAACTTGAAGATAAAAACAATCTGGCACTCATTTTGATGATGAAACCATTTCTTGTGTGGAGGAAGTTTTACACTACCAGGAGGGCTCCGGGCACTCCAGCATTTGGCACACATGTGTGGACCTCAGAGAGGTTTCTGTTGAAAAGTATTTAGCAAACAATTCCATCAACACAGTCATAGTTAGGCTCAGAACTTTTCAGCCAGCCTTGTACCACAGATACCTGCTTAAAGGTTGGTACATATCACATCTGTGTGGCCTGACAAACAAACATTTACTGCCTTACTCCTCTCTGTTTCAAACTATGCTTCCCTTCAGCTCCCTGTGGTTAAAGACATGCTCATGACATATGTTTCAGGTTCCAGAAACTCCTGCTGCAACGCCTGCTTCAACACTTGCTCCAACTACTCCCGCTCCAACTTCTCCCGCTACAACGCCCACAACTCCCTCTCCAACAACTACACCAACAACGGCAAGGCCCTCAACAACACAACCTGTCATAGACACCACCCAAACAGCTAGAAGTGGAACTGGAAGCACGGTTACCCCATCCTTACGGGAGGTAAGACATTTTTGAATATTGAGAGTGGCTTCATCCTCTCAGGAATTAGATATAATACTTAAAGTCGCCCTCATCAACGGAGAGAGAAACTCAACTCACACTGCTTTCGTCCATTAGATTGTTGTGGGTTTGGGGATCTAATAATCATTGCCTTACTTATATGTGGTTTGAGATGTCGGCCATGTTGTGACGTCTGCTCCTCTGCTTCTGTTGCAGGACAACCACCAGTACTACTCGTCATCCATCATCCCCGATGCCATCACCTCTAACTGGATGGATCTGACCAACGCTAAGAGACACAAGACTTTGTCCACCAGTCACCGGACCGCAGTGGTAAGTGCTCATACATGGAGGGGCGGCAGTGGGGTAGCCTGGTGGTTAAAGCGTTCGCTCATCTAGCAGGAGACCCACTCACTCACTCATACATGGAGGGGCGGCAGTGGGGTAGCCTGGTGGTTAAAGCGTTCGCTCATCTAGCAGGAGACCCACTCACTCACTCATACATGGAGGGGCAGCAGTGGGGTAGCTTCGTGGTTAAAGCAATTGCTCATCTTGCTGAAGACCCACTCACTCACTCATACATGCAGGGGCAGCGGTGGGGTAGCCTCATAGTTAAAGCAATTGCTCATCTAGCAGGAGACACACTCACTCACTCATACATGCAGGGGCAGCGGTTTGGTAGCCTCGTGGTTAAAGTGTTCACTCATCTAGCAGGAGACCCACTCACTCACTCATACATACAGGGGCAGCGGTTTGGTAGCCTCGTGGTTAAAGTGTTCAATCATCTAGCAGGAGACCCACTCACTCACTCATACATGGAGGGGTGGCAGTGGGGAAGCCTGGTGGTTAAAGCGTTCGCTCATCTAGCAGGAGACCCACTCACTCACTCATACATACAGGGGCAGCGGTTTGGTAGCCTCGTGGTTAAAGTGTTCGCTCATCTAGCAGGAGACCCACTCACTCACTCATACATGCAGGGGCGGCGGTGGGGTAGCTTTGTGGTTCAAGCAATTGCTCATCTTGCTGAAGACCCACTCACTCACTCATACATGCAGGGGCGGCGGTGGGGTAGCTTTGTGGTTAAAGCAATTGCTCATCTTGCTGAAGACCCACTCACTCACTCATACATGCAGGGGCGGCGGTTTGGTAGCCTCATTGTTAATGTGTTCGCTGATCTTGCTGAAGACCCACTCACTCACTCATACATGGAGGGAGTAGCAGTGGGGTAGCTTCATGGTTAAAGCAATCGCTCATCTTGCAGGAGATACACTTACTCACTCACACATGAAGGCAGTATGGCCTCAAGCTGAAACACGATAAACAGTCACAATATGTGTCGTCATTCACTTTCTGATACTGATAGTTCTACCTTGGGTTGATACATGATAATACCTGTTGACATCCTGTTGTCCAGACTCAATTATTTTCAGACCGGCATCATATAGCTGGAATATTGCTGAATGTGGCGTTAAACAACAAACTTACAAACAAACAAATTTTACACGGTAAAACAGTCACGATACATGTCATACACCTTTTTAAAGTACCATCTAGATATTCAATGACATACAATTTACCAAGTCATCAAGCCTGACCACATAATCCATTCAGTCGCTTCTTACGACCAGCATGGCTTGCTGGGACCCATTCTCACCTGCCATCCTCGCGGGTTTTTGGCTTCTTTTATACGCATTCAACAACTGGAGAAAAGTAGGCTGTTGGCTTAAATATCTTGTAGTGTTAGACAGTGGGTCACATGGTCTGTTGCCAACAGTGGTAGGCGGCTACTAACAGGATCAGGTGGTAAGGCCCGCTGACGTGGTCATCATATCCCAATTGCGAAGATAGATGCTCATGATGATTATTTTCAGACCAGCATCATATAGCTGGAATATTGCTGAGTGTGGCGTCAACAACAAACAAATCAAACCTGATAATGACATTAACGACTTGGGATATATATCATTTCATATCATCCATGGTTTCACGATACATTAGATTTCACGATATGCCTGGGATTTTTATGAGGAATTAATAAACCATATGGACATTATTTCCATGATGTATGAAATTAACTTTTTCTTTCAGACTATTAACCTCACCTTTAAGTTCCGTTTCTATGGACACAATGTGACAAACATCACCGTAGCAACAGGAGGTAGGTGATAGTGTAGTGTGTTTCACACCCTTACTGTTTACTGATGCAGACGAAATCGCCAATGTTTTTCATAATACTATCAAAAATAAAAATTGGGTTGAAAGAGAAAGATTAGAAGTAACGAGGGCTTGTCATTAAGAATTATGATCAGATCTCTGCTAGTTTTGTTTGACACAAGCTTTAGATAAATATTCCAAATGATTATAGGTAAACAGGTTCATAATAAGATAATACTTATGAAAATTAGATTCAAATAAAATCAATTATTAGACAATACAGGCAATAAAAGAATCAAAATATAATATGTCCAAGCATCTGCTGTCTGAAGATGATAGTTATCTTTGGATTGTTACGTGTATAACGTTTCTCCCTCGTGATCCAACAGTATAACAATCCAAGATCTAACCAGCATCTAATAAACAACATGATGTGTGGAGATATTTTGTTTCTTAATTAGCGTTGAGCTGCTGCAGTATAAGATCCTTTGACTCTGTGTCGTTTCTGTCAACAGGTTTCATCTACGCCAGTCCCTTCCTCCACCAATGGCTGACCGCGACACAATACATAGCTCCACTCATGGCCAACTTTGATACCAGGATCGGCGAGGCTTCTGACATCTACTACGATGACTTTGGTAGGGCGTGTGGATATCTGAATATAAGGAATTTCATCTATTATCTGATATATTTTCAACTGCTCTCTGTTTATGATTGTCTCTGGTGAAGTCTCCCATTGGTTGCTGTAGAACAAGTACGAAAACATAAGAGTTTATGGATAGCAACATTTGGGTTTGTACAGGGTCCAGTCTGACTTGCAACATCCAGACACTAACGCACCAGTAGAGGTTCCGGTCTGTTGCACAAAACAACATCCAGACACAAACTCACCAGAAGAGGTTCCGGTTGTTGCATAAAACAACATCAAGACGCTCATTCACCAGTAGCGGTTCCGATCTGTTGCATTAAGCAACGCCCAGACACTAACTCACCAGTAGAGGTTTCGGTCTGAGGTTTGCATTCTGCAGCGCCCAGACACTAACTCACCAGTAGAGGTTCTGGTCTGTTGCTTAAAACAACATCAAGATGCTCATTCACCAGTAGCGGTTCCGGTCTGTTGCATTAAGCAGCGCCCAGACACTAACTCACCAGTAGAGGTTCCGGTCTGTTGCATTAAGCAGCATCCAGACACTAACTCACCAGTAGGGGTTCCGGTCTGTTGCATTAAGCAGCGCCCAGACACTAACTCACCAGTAGAGGTTTCGGTCTGAGGTTTGCATTAAGCAGCATCCAGACACTAACTCACCAGTAGAGGTTCTGGTCTGTTGCTTAAAACAACATCAAGACGCTCATTCACCAGTAGCGGTTCCGGTCTGTTGCATTAAGCAGCGCCCAGACACTAACTCACCAGTAGAGGTTCTGGTCTGAGGTTTGCATTAAGCAGCATCCAGACACTAACTCACCAGTAGAGGTTCTGGTCTGTTGCTTAAAACAACATCAAGACGCTCATTCACCAGTAGCGGTTCCGGTCTGTTGCATTAAGCAACGCCCAGACACTAACTCACCAGTAGAGGTTTCGGTCTGAGGTTTGCATTCTGCAGCGCCTAGACACTAACTCACCAGTAGAGGTTCTGGTCTGAGGTTTGCATTCTGCAGCGCCCAGACACTAACTCACCAGTAGAGGTTCTGGTCTGTTGCATTAAGCAGCATCCAGACACTAACTCACCAGTAGGGGTTCCGGTCTGTTGCATTAAGCAGCGCCCAGACACTAACTCACCAGTAGAGGTTTCGGTCTGAGGTTTGTATTAAGCAACGCCCAGACACTATCTCACCAGTAAAAGTCTGTTCTGCAGGCAATCATGATGCAGTTTCGTTGTACGTGAATATTAAAGCCACTTTAAGCAGTGTTCAGGAAAATCCAGAAGCCACACAGTATGCAAGGTAGTAAATGAATTTTATAATAGAAATTGATTTTCCACCCAAGTTTTATAGAGGGTCACAGGTCTAATTGAATCTTCAACCGTGCTGTCTTTTTTAAGCCTGGTATCTATTCGAGGGCCTCTGAAAGCCCTATCATTTTCTCGTTTAAGAGCAGAGACTCTGGGCAATATGATGTAAGAATGAAATAGATGGCTTTTGTGGAGAACGAGGAAATGACTTCCGTAAGACTTGTCTACGACCTGGATCTCGCAACTCAAGATTTAGTAGGGGTATCCTATACTATATGGGTGATGCCAATTATCAGGCTATTTATTGTTGACCTGTGCACATATCGGATGGGAACAGTATGGTATTCAAGGCATTTGAGCCACCTGTTTTGTATTTGGCCATATAGTCGAAATGATGGAACTAGATTGTGAATGTGTGGTTCCTCCAGACTTCTAGGATGTGGTGTCATGTTTCGAGGATGATTACATTGATCTAGCTTGTAGTTTGGATGGATCTCAATAGGCACACACAGACATGAATATTCATGAACATCTGAAAAATATTATTTCCACAGATTTTTTATTTATTTGACACACATTTCATTTTAAGAGTCTTGATCGTGTACCGGAAGCTGAACATTTGCGAAAATACGCATATAAATTTACCATAACCCAATATATTTTGAGTTCATTGCTTACAAGTATGCATTAATAATTTTAAAAAGACCACACTGCATAACTAGCTAGTGTGACGTTTCCGCTTGCGTACATGTATTTTCCTTGCATATTTATATTTATTGATCAAATGCAGGCATTACATGCATGAACTCTCCTGCAGTGAATAAGGCTCCCAAGCACTACATAATGCTTATTGTAACTTAGAGACAAATATCTGATCTGAGCTCACGTAACTTGTAACTCGCTTAGGTCACAGTTATGTTTTTGAAAATATCTAGTCATTTAAAAAAATACTATTAATCTTGAAATTAATGTGCGAAAAATGTGAGTGGTCTTTGCTCGCATATATTTAACTTCTCATTTATGTCTCAAAAATGACTGTTGACAAGACATCCTCATCGCACACATAAAGGAACTACCAATTATCTAGGGGGAAGTCACGTTAATATTGAGTGGCAGTCTGGGCCGGGTCCAGCAGTCGCGTCAATTTGGAGATGCATTGATTGACAGTACACAATGTGTGAGTAAAGATTATCTGGATCCCTAATGTCCCCAAACCCTAGGATCAGTTATCTTTCTAGGTTTGTCCGCCAAAGTACCAGATGTTGTTTAACTTTCTATGGTAGTATGTGTGAAATGACGAGGGAACTTAACATGACTGACCTGTGAAGATTCCGGGTTAAAATAGGTCTTCAGCAACCCATGCTTGCCGTAACAGGTGACTATGCTTGTTGTAAGAGGCGACTAAAGGGATCGGGTGGTCAGGCTTGCTGACTTGGTTGATGCATGTGATCGTATCCCGATTGCATGTATCGATGCTCATGATGTCAGTCACTGAATTGTCTGGTCCAGACTTGAATATTTACAAACCGACATCATATGGCTGGAATAGTGCTGAGTGAGTTGTTTAACAACAAAAAAACAAAACTAAACATGACTGTAAATGCAATAACTGAGGAACTGAATTGGAACTGTCAATGGATTATCCAAAAAAGACTCTTTCTTTCAGCGTGTCCTTTCTTGACCTAAGTACAAGTTATAAAAACACACTAAACATTAAGCCCATCTTGTCAATATATGACCGGGGATGCATGAAAAAACTTACACTAAATAAACAACTGCGTGAAGCACGTGTTGCTGCCCAATTCCGCGAAGTATGGCGCAAACTACTCCACCCCTGAGACCGCACATAATGCTCTAAAAGATTCTTGGAACCAGCCTTTGTGTATCAGCATGAGGATTAGTGACTTAAAATGACTTTCTCTGACAAGGGCATGCCCTAGTACAGGGTACAGTTTCATTCTGTTATACCACCTGCTCCGGGTGCAACCAAGTGAATTAATCAGGTTGCACCACCAAAATGTGGGCTGCACCATTTTGTCATAAATTGAAATACTGTATTTTCATTAAGTTTGAATATTAAATAATTTTGAGAATGTGTTACAGTATTTTATTTTGAGGAATTCTGTATATGGCTTTAAACATCTTGATATTCGTTAAACAACCTTAAACAGAAGTTTCAAAGTGTCGCTTTGTTGTGATTTCAATCGCATGAGTGACTGTTCTAGTGGTAATTTTAAAGAATTAGTTCTGCAAGTTCACTGCATTCAGACCACCTGTGTATTTCACTATTTCATGTATATTTTCATGAACTTTGGTTTTCTGGATTGTTATAGATTTGCAGCCAGTTCCAAAAGACTTCAGTTTTCATTTTTATCAAATATAACTGCTGCCGCACTTGTGGCGTGAAATGTTACCTGCACTGGGTGCAACCTGACAATAAAAGTTACCTGCACTTGCAATGTTTTTACCTGCACTGGTGCAGCTTGGACATTGTGACATCGATCCCTATAGTAATGATGGATGTTAACTCTGTTGGTGTTTGTATTCCAGGTGACAAATTTGCAGTTCAGTGGAAAAACGTTGTGCTGAAGGATCAAAATGAAAGTAAGAACCTATTCAATTGTGTCAGTCTTATTTAATCAAAACTTGACCTCGGTGACCCCGCGGGGATTCCCAGGTAGAATAGTACCGCAGCAACATGCTGAGTGAGAGGCGACAAAAGGGATTGGGTGGTCCGACTCGGTGACTTGGTTGATCATGATATCAATCACTGGATTGTCTGGTTCAGACTGTTATTTGCAGACCGCATCATTAAGCCTGCCGTGAATAGCTGCAAGATTGCTGATGCGGTGTTATGCGATGTTCACTCACTCACTGACTCCATGATAAAGCTGGATTAATGCAGTGTGCAGCATTAGACAACAAACAGTTACCTCGTTAAGGATTCTTCCAAGCTGTTTGCAAAGATGGTAGAATGGAATAGAATCTCATGAAATATGCACCCTGAAATCAAATATGTTCTCAGTAAACATTCCCTGTGATGCCAATTTAGTAATCGATCATGTTATTTATCACGTCCAAAGCTCATGGAATGCTGGTTGAAATGTTTGAATACAATGAGATGTTTCTGCAAGCCACAATGGTAGATGGTGACTACAATGTTGGTATGTGGTGACTACAATGTTGGTATGTCATGACTACAATGTTGGTATGTGGTGACTACAATGTTGGTATGTCATGACTACAATGTTGGCATGTGGTGACTACAATGTTGGTATGTGACTACAATGTTAGTATGTGGTGACTACAATGTTGGTATGTCATGACTACAATGTTGGCATGTGGTGACTACAATGTTGGTATGTCGTGACTACAATGTTGGTATGTCATGTCTACAATGTTGGTATGTGACAACAATGTTGGTATGTGACTACAATGTTGGTATGTGGTGACTACAGTGTTGGTATGTCATGACTTCAATGTTGGTTGTGGTGACTACAATGTTGTTATGTCATGACTACAATGTTAGTATGTGGTGACAACAATGTTGGTATGTCATGACTACAATGTTGGTATGTGACTAAAATGTTAGTATGTGGTGACAACAATGTTGGTATGTCATGACTTCAATGTTGGTATGTCATGACTACAATGTTAGTATGTGGTGACTACAATGTTGGTATGTGACTACAATGTTGGTATGTGGTGACTACAATGTTGTTATGTCATGACTACAATGTTAGTATGTCATGACTACAATGTTGGTATGTGACTACAATGTTGGTATGTGACTACAATGTTATGGTATGTGGTGACAACAATGTTAGTATGTCATGACTACAATGTTAGTATGTGGTGACAACAATGTTGGTATGTCATGACTACAATGTTGGTATGTGACTACAATGCTGGTATGTGACTACAATGCTGGTATGTGGTGACTACAATGCTGGTATGTGACTACAATGCTGGTATGTGGTGACTACAATGCTGGTATGTGGTGACTACAATGCTGGTGTGTGGTGACTACAATGTTGGTATGTGGTAACTACAATGTTGGTATATCATGACAACAATGTTGGTATGTCATGACTACAATGTTGGTATGTGACTACAATGTTGACTTTGTTGCAGCTGGTACCTTTGACTTCCAAGTACAACTGCAAGCAGATGGCACCATCAAGTTCCTGTACAAGCAGGTGAGCACACACTGCCTGAAGCTGCAGTAAAATATCTTGTTGCATCTCACAGACTTTAATCTTGTGCCTGCTACTCTCCTTCCTGCGTTATTTCACAGATATTACTTATGTCTTACATATTAAAACCCTCGGCGGAAGCCCATTTTGTGTAACAGGTACTTCTTTTTTATGAACAATAAAAACAAAATTTAAAAAGAAATGTTTGCAAATTTACAATACATGGCCTTACAAACTATTTTTTTACAGATTTTTACCAAACAAATTAAATTCTGAATATTCTGTTGTTGGTTAGAGAAAATTGTTTGGCTTCTCCCCTCAGAGAAAAACATTTTATGTTTTAAAGCAGTGACTGTCAACTGCATGTCATCATACCCCAGCAAGGATCATTGCTCATAATATCAATCACTGGTTTGTCTGGTCCAGACTTGATGATGTACAGTCCACCATCATACAGTTGGAATATTGCTGACTAAGTCATTATACAAACGAATATTAATGAACTATGAGAAACAGATATGAGAGTTTATCTCCAAGAAACTGTCGACACAACTCAGTCTTTGTACAGTGATATGGTTAAGAACAGAACAGGAACAGCAATGGATGTTAAATCTGATAAATAGATACGGAAGATAATTCTGTCGCTTAGTGCCCCCCTGTGTGGGATGATATGATGTTTTCTCTGTTTTAGTTACCTATCAAGCTGTCGGCTATATCCAGTTCGAACCACCCAGTGAAGATCGGTGTGTCGGACGCCTTCTATATTGACTCTTACCTCAAAGCCCAGGGTGAGGGGATTTTTTGTCTATTTGTCAGTGTGTCGTGTACATACCGGTGTGTACCTAGAAGACACTCCGCATGACATCAATTGCGCTCGTTCGTACGATCATTCGTACACTATTTTGTAGCTTTGGTATCTGCGCCCCACCTTCCAACCCTTTGATAAAAGCATTAAGTGAGATAGGACAAGTTAAAAACTCCGAACTTTTCCCATATATTGTATATTTATATACACACGCTATGTGCCCACCAACTCGGCCATCCCCACATCACAGTTCCTCTAGCCTGTTAGCTCTTGAGAAAAAAGTATGATGTGGCAGGGGTTAGCATGTGACCAGGTCGTGTCGGTCGCTATGTACGGGATTACAGTGCGTGACCCACTTGTTTGTGGGTGGTGACCATGGTAATGCTGGGATGTCTTGGGTGATTTGTTGGGTTTTTTAAGCTGGAAACTTTGTTAAAGCACTTTTCCACATAGGATTGAAGAAGAAAGAAGAGATGCATAGTATGAGATAGGAAAAGTATATGAATATACAATTTATTGAAAAATGTTCAATGTCTGATGGCAACATGATTGTTTCAGTGACAAAATGTCAATATGTGTGTTGCAGGCATACGACGTAGAACGATCTACGAGTACCATCGCGTATCCTTCCACCCGGACCAGGTCGAACAGGGCACCGTCATCGTCATGAAGCCATTGCCAAGTAATCCTCACTACCTGTCTAACTGAACTACTAGTGGCTATTTTTAGTAGTGAACTTGAAACCCTGATTACAACACATTTCGTGATATGTGACTGACAAAATAGCTGGGTGTCATTTTACGAGTAGTAAGTAATTTCTTTTAGCAAGTGTATCGTCTTGTATCGATACAGAAAAACGTATTGTGTATTGTACCGTCTCATGAAAACTCACGATGCATCGTTTCACCCCTATTAACTACTTAGCAGACTCATTGTAGGGGTCTGTCTGTGTCTCTCATGGGTACTCCAGGACAGAATAGATTCCCAGGACCCATTGCTTATTTGCCCTGTGGGGATACCAGAACAGAATAGATTCCCAGGACCCATTGCTTATTTGCCCTGTGGGTACTCCAGGGCCCACTTGTACAAAGCGATCTTAGCGCTAAGATGATCTTAACTCCCATACTTTAACTTAGGCTTACGATAGTCTTAGCGCTAAGATCGCTTTGTGCAAGTGGGCCCAGGACAGAATAGATTCCCAGGACCCATTGCTTACTTGCCCTGTGGGGATTTCAGGACACAATAGATTCCCAGGACCCATTGCTTATTTGCCCTGTGGGTACTCCAGGACAGAATAGATTCCCAGGACCCATTGCTTATTTGCCCTGTGGGTACTCCAGGACAGAATAGATTCCCAGGACCCATTGCTTATTTGCCCTGAGGGGATTCCAGGACAGAATAGATTCCCAGTACCCATTGCTTATTTGCCCAGTGGGGATTCCAGGACAGAATAGATTCCCAGGACCCATTGCTTATTTGCCCTGTGGGGATTTCAGGACACAATAGATTCCCAGGACCCATTGCTTATTTGCCCAGTGGGGATTCCAGGACAGAATAGATTCCCAGGACCCATTGCTTATTTGCCCTGTGGGGATTCCAGGACAGAATAGATTCCCAGGACCCATTGTTCATTTTCCCTGTGGGGATTCCAGGACAGAATAGGTTCCCAGTAATCAGTACTTTCCCCAAGAATAAGGGGCCACCTCCATAGTCTAGTGGTAGAGCATCTACCCAGAGAGTTGAAGGTTGGTGGTTTCATCCATGGCCGTGTCATACCGAAACATGTTAGAAGATAGTACTTCTTGTTTCCCTGCCTGGTGCTCAGCCTTAAGAGGATAAAACAGAGGTGTGTGTGTGTGTGTATTTGTGTGTGTTTGTTTCCTGAATAATAGGTCCCTGTCATTGTTACGGTAGACCCGTGAAAATCTGGGGTAGAATAGGTCTTCAGCAACCCATTCTTCCTGTAAGAAGCGACTAACAGGATCAGGTGGTCAGGCTTGCTGACTTGGTTGATGCATGACATCGTATCCCAACTGCGTGGATCGGTGCTCATGATGTCAATCACTGGATTGTCTGGTTCAGACTCGATTATTTACAGACCGCTGTCATGGACAGAGTAATTACATGATTAGTTTGCGTACTTCAGTATGGATTTGTTGACATGGCATTTCCGGTGTTACGTGCTCACGGTAATATCTTTCCCTGGGGAAAAAAAAATCAAAACTCATTATTTCGTGTATAATGCACACACCCTTCTACACAGCTGTTGTTGTTTTTTAAAAAGTGCACACTCTACTCAAGAATATACGGTTGTTGGAATATTGCTGAGTGCGGAGTTAAACAAAGAAACAAAAAATCATTGTTACAGTAAGAACAGACCACTCAAGCAGATCAATCCACCTGACATTGCTTCAATGGGCAATATTTTATTGAATGTTCCAGCATGCAACATCATCTCGGACTGCAAGAAGTGTGTGAATCACGACTTTGAACAAGTGAAGTTTGACTGCAAGTGGTGTGGGTCGCTGGGACGCTGCTCCGACGGCATCGACTGGCACCGGGCAGAATGGCTCAACAGTGGATGTTCCAAGCTGGTAGGAGCTAGTTCCACCCCTGGAGGAATACCCTGTTTTCTTAGTACTGACCAAAATAATATTGACAGTTTAAACAGATCAACAATCATGAATGTTTTGCTCACATCAACTTTCCTGTCATTGGGCAAGTGCAGAATATTTCCCTGTAGAAAAGGCCTTCTGACTATAAACAGTTATTAAACACTGTAACTTCTCATCACCTCAATCTTGCATGGGCCCGCCAAGAAGGGGGAGCCAATGGCTGCCAAGAATTGTATATGAATGACCAACTTTCATCTTTGGTAATCAGCCAGGCTTGAATACCTTGCAGCCAGTTGTCATTTAACTCATCATTGCGTGTGTTTTATCATGTCGCCACTTTTCACTTTTTTTGCAGAATATTGACTTGACAACTGAAAGACATCAGATTAAAGTATTTCAAAACTTTTCAAATTTATATTATGATAAGATTGTCCTTTCTTTCAGTTTAACATACACAAGTGACGTTTTATAGTTTTACTTGTCAGATCGCCTCCATTTTGATGTTAAGGTCCTTGTTAAGTTTTCAGATTCTACCAACGGTGGGGATACTGGGTTAGAATTGGCCCCAACAACTGATATTTCCAGTCAATAACAGCCCTAATAACAACCTGGTATCTACTTAATGACTGAGGCCCTCTTTTTTTAATTGGTTCGGTGGATCTTTCAACCCCAAATACTGAAAAAATATAGTGGAATATGTTTTTATCAATTTTTACAAATATTTTATCACTACTGACCAGAAAAAATATTCTGTACAAGAATACAAAAATGCATTCCTTGAATCTTGCAATGCAGTAATAAGACGTCTTTGCCATCAAAACTCGCTACCTTGCAGAAGGAATCGCTTTTGCAATGATTTACATGACAGCAAGGGACAGTAACTCCCAGCCACAGTGCCTTGCCTTGTCATGTCAGTATTGTTTGCTTTTTGGACTTTTTCCAACTGGAACTGAATTATTTTTTGGATATCCGTAAACCAAGTTAAAAGATGGCCTTATATGCCAGGGAACTAATCAGTCTTACATATTTATTGTCTTTTTGCTCCCTTGCAGTTTTCACAGTCTCGGGTATGTTTAATCAATCCCAGCTTGCATGTTGTGTTTATGTCAGTGATAGTGTAGATAGTGTTTTAAGTTTATTTACAGCCATGCTTTTTTCTCCATGTCTTACGGACATGGAAACAGAAACATTCTCTGTCTGTCAATGTCAGGACTTTTTTGGAGAGATGGGACTGCAGAATGTTGTACAATGATTAGCGCTCTTTAAGATCAAAGATAACATCCTGCAGTCTAATACCAATGTTTCGTACAAAAACTATACTTTCAAATTATACAGTTATTTTGGAACATTTATTATGATAATATGCAAACTATTTGTAGAATAAACTAAAATCCAATTTTTTTACTGATTGGTAATTTTAAATAAACACATGTTCAGGAAGAACATTGACACTGGGGGAAATGGTGCGGCCAAGTGTACGTTGTGAACATTTATTTCCTGCAATGTTCTAATTCGTTCAGTCATTTTTCTTTTTCATTCTTAGCTTCTTAAGTTGCTCTTTTGTTTTGACCACTGTTCTGGAGTTCATTATTGGGCAGAAGTTCATTAACATAAAAGCGTTGAACATCCAAGTGGAGAGCGTCGTAGTGATGCCTTCTTGATCTTCTCGAGGTCTCTTTCGAATTTACTCAGTGAAAGAAACACAACAACTTCCTCAAGGCTGGACATACTGATGGGATGCATCAGACAAGTACAGATAGTTAAAAGCAATTGTTCTGTTTCTTTTACGTCATTTGGGGTATCAATACATATGTATAAGGAATCCAGAATGACATCATTGTTTATTTTTTATAGCTGCACAGATTTGTATGTGACAGACTACTCCATCTGTAAAAGCTATCCCTCTCTCTGTCTAACAATGTTCATACTTAATCATTCTTACCCTAACTATGATTACAATGCTGTACTTCACCGGCACAAAGCAAACAATGTTCGCAGAGTCTTTATGTATGAGGGGCGTTCAATAAGTTTTGCAACTTCAATGTAAGTCTTGGTTGTACAGTTAAATCACCCACCCTACAGCCCAGACTTAGCCCCCAGTGACTAGTTCCTGTTCTGGCAAATGAAATCTTCCCTACATGGAAGACGCTTCCAGGATGACAAGGACATAAAGGCTGCCACAGAGGCGTGGTTAGAGGGTGAATCTGTGGATTTCTATTAAAGTAGTATTAAAAGCTTGAAGGACAAATGGAATAAGTGTATTGAGGTGAATGGAGATTATATTGCAAAATGAAATTGCAAAATGAAAGTGCAAAAGATAATCTGCGACTTGGTCTTATATCGAAATTGCAAAACTTATTGAACGCCCCTCGTACCTATGGGTGTAAGAACTCCATGAACCTTCGCTACCTCTCGATACTGTGTATGTCAGTAACACTATCATATCATGAGGTGATGATCCCGGTTTGTGCCGATTATGTTTCTAGGTTTGTCAGCATCAGACCAGCTTTCATGAGATTATCCTTAGTGGTAACCATCTGAAATCTGCATTACTTCGGGCTTTCGTTCCACATTATGCTGACAAGCCGTGATATAACTGGAATACTGTTAAATGTTAAACTCACTCACTCACTCACTCACTCACTCACTCACATAGCGGCTGTTGATGGTGACAGGACTGGTTAAAACGAAGACAGTGTTATGTGGTTTGATACGGTCACGACTAGCTAGCGGTGGATGGGTGGTCCGCGAGCCATAGCGGCTGTTGATGGGGACAGGACTGGTTTAAACCAAGACAGTGTTATGTGGCTTTATATTGTCACGACAAGCTAGCGGTGGATGGGTGGTCCGCAAAGCCATAGTAGCTGTTGATGGTGACAGGTCTGGTTAAAACCAAGACAGTGTTATGTGGCTTGATATTGTCACGGCAAGCTAGCGGTGGATGGGGGGATCCGCGAGCCATAGTAGCTGTTGATGGTGACAGGACTGGTTCAAACCAAGACAGTGTTATGTGGCTTGATATTGTCACGACAAGCTAGTGGTGGATGTGTGGTCCGCGAGCCATAGTAGCTGTTGATGGTGACAGGACTGGTTAAAACCAAGACAGTGTTATGTGGCTTGATATTGTCACGACAAGCTAGCGGTGGATGTGTGGTCCGCAAGCCATAGCGGCTGTTGATGGTGACAGGACTGGTTCAAACCAAGACAGTGTTATGTGGCTTGAGACGGCCACAACCAGCTAGCGGTGGATGGGTGATCCGCGAGCCATAGCGGCTGTTGATGTTGACAGGACTGGTTTAAACCAAGACAGTGTTATGTGGCTTTATATTGTCACGACAAGCTAGCGGTGGATGGGTGGTCCGCAAAGCCAAAGCAGCTGTTGATGGTGACAGGACTGGTTTAAACCATGACAGTGTTATGTGGCTTGATATTGTCACGACAAGCTAGCGGTGGATGGGTGATCCGCGAGCCATAGCGGCTGTTGATGGTGACAGGACTGGTTAAAACCAAGACAGTGTTATGTGGCTTTATATTGTCACGACAAGCTAGCGGTGGATGGGTGGTCCGCAAAGCCATAGTAGCTGTTGATGGTGACAGGTCTGGTTAAAACCAAGACAGTGTTATGTGGCTTGATATTGTCACGGCAAGCTAGCGGTGGATGGGGGGATCCGCGAGCCATAGTAGCTGTTGATGGTGACAGGACTGGTTCAAACCAAGACAGTGTTATGTGGCTTGATATTGTCACGACAAGCTAGTGGTGGATGTGTGGTCCGCGAGCCATAGTAGCTGTTGATGGTGACAGGACTGGTTAAAACCAAGACAGTGTTATGTGGCTTGATATTGTCACGACAAGCTAGCGGTGGATGTGTGGTCCGCAAGCCATAGCGGCTGTTGATGGTGACAGGACTGGTTAAAACCAAGACAGTGTTATGTGGCTTGATACTGTCACGACTAGCTAGCGGTGGATGTGTGGTCCGCGAGCCATAGCAGCTGTTGATGGTGACAGGACTGGTTAAAACCAAGACAGTGTTATGTGGCTTGATATTGTCACGACAAGCTAGTGGTGGATGTGTGGTCCGCGAGCCATAGTAGCTGTTGATGGTGACAGGACTGGTTCAAACCAAGACAGTGTTATGTGGCTTGAGACGGCCACAACCAGCTAGCGGTGGATGGGTGATCCGCGAGCCATAGCGGCTGTTGATGGTGACAGGACTGGTTCAAACCAAGACAGTGTTATGTGGCTTGATACGGTCACGACAAACTAGTGGTGGATGTGTGGCCCGCAAGCCATAGCGGCTGTTGATGGTGACAGAACTGGTTAAAACCAAGACGGTGTGGCTTGATACGGTCACGACTAGCTAGCGGTGGATGGGTGGTCCACGAGCCATAGCGGCTGTTGATGTTGACAGGACTGGTTAAAACCAAGACGGTGTGGGTTGATATGGTCACGACTAGCTAGCGGTGGATGTGTGGTCTGCAAGCTATAGCGGCTGTTGATGGTGACAGAACTGGTTAAAACCAAGACGGTGTGGGTTGATACGGTCACGACTAGCTAGCGGTGGATGTGTGGTCTGCAAGCCATAGCGGCTGTTGATGGTGACAGGACTGGTTAAAACCAAGACGGTGTGGGTTGATACGGTCACGACTAGCTAGCGGTGGATGTGTGGTCCACGAGCTATAGCGGCTGTTGATGGTGACAGAACTGGTTAAAACCAAGACGGTGTGGCTTGATACGGTCACGACAAGCTAGCGATGGATGGGTGGTCCACGAGCCATAGCAGCTGTTGATGGTGACAGGACTGGTTAAAACCAAGACAGTGTTATGAGGCTTGAAACGGTCACGACTAGCTACTGGTGGATGGGTTGTCCGCGAGCCATAGCAGCTGTTGATGGTGACAGGACTTGTTAAAACCAAGACAGTGTTATGTGGCTTGATATTGTCACGGCAAGCTAGTGGTGGATGTGTGGTCCGTGAGCCATAGGGGCTGTTGATGGGGACGGGACTGGTTAAAACCAAGACAGTGTGGATTGATTACGGTCACGACTAGCTAGTGGTGGATGGGTGGTCCGCAAGCCATAGCGGCTGTTGATGGTGACGGTCACGATTAGCTAGTGGTTTGCCTGCTCGACCGCCCTGTGACCTATGTTTCACTAGGTGCCCTGGGGTAGAATGTATTCCGTGTCACTTCTACTGAGGTGACTGACCGGTGATAGGATCGTCGCAGTGCATGCTGCATATGAGTAGCTCTATCAAGGCCACAGAGGAAAAGTTGAGAGGGCTTGCAAACTTGTGGCAGTGATGATACTGGGAGGGGGACGAAGGTTCCACAAGCTGGAAAGGCACTTGATAGCTCCCTTGGCAGGGGAGATAACTCTGAGAAATTGACCTGCATCACTTCGGGCTTTCCTCCCACATCAAGCTGATATGCCATGATGTAACTGCAATACTGTGCAAAGCAGTGTTAATCTCACTCACTCACTCACTCATCTCTTATACCCGTGAAGATTCCGGGGTAGAATAGGTCTTCAGCTTGTCATAAAAGGCGACTAACGGGATCGGGTGGTCAGGCTCGCTGACTTGGTTGATACATGTCTTCGATCCCAATTGCGCGGATCGATGCTCATGATGTCAATCACTGGATTGTCTGGTCCAGACTCGTTTATTTACAGACCGCCGTCATATAGCTGGAATATTGCTGAGTGCAGCGTTAAACAACAAACAAACAAACAAACAAACAAAACTCATCTCTTAATCATACATCTGTGCAATGATGTTACTCAACTGCCATACCTCAACTATAAGCTGTCCTTTAACTTCAGATTGATTGAATATCAATAACTTTTTTTTAATTTAAAATAACATGCATGCTTAGGCAAAATACTAATATTGAATGCACATTATTTTAACACTGAAATGACTTACAAAATTATTATTTTTATCGTATTTTTTGCTCTCTTATTTTGTTTGCCATCATAAGAATGTTGGAGTCTGGCCACAGAGGAGCAGTCTTTAACTTCAGCCACTACTCAGAAGCCAAAGTCTAGTAAATTGCTGTTCGGTCTAGTAAGCTCAGTCCATATGATAGCCCTAAACAGTACTAAAAATAAGCTCAGAACCATGTTCAGGCTTGAAGCCTCAATAGTTTTTGACACAGACTGAAGGAATCAGTTCTGACTGTTGGGGGACGGTGGGGTAGCCTAGTGGTTAAAGCATTCACTCGTCACGCCGAGGAGTCCGGTTGATTCCCCAGATGGGTACAATGTGGGAAGCCCATTTCTGATGTCCCGTGCCATAATTTTGATGGACATAAAATCAGCATAACACCATACCCACTCACTCACTCACTCTGAATCTGATTGATGGAAGGGGTCCCCAGTATTCCACACGTGTTAAGAAGGACGACTAATATGTGAATCAAACTCAAAAGGCTTTCAATCACTGGTTTATCTGGTCAAGGCTGCTGTGATGTAGCTGTTTCGAATCACACCATGGGATTCCCGGTTAGAATAGGTCCCCTGCAATCTATGCTGGTTGAACCGTGGGGATTCCCGGTTAGAATTGGTCCCCTGCAATCTATGCTGGTCGTACCGAGGGGAATCAAGGTTAGAATTGGTCCCCTGCAATCTATGCTGGTCGTACCGTGGGGAATCCAGGTTAGAATTGGTCCCCTGCAATCTATGCTGGTCATACCGAGGGGAATCCAGGTTAGAATTGGTCCCCTGCAATCTATGCTGGTCGTACCGTGGGGAATCCAGGTTAGAATTGGTCCCCTGCAATCTATGCTGGTCGTACCGTGGGGAATCAAGGTTAGAATTGGTCCCCTGCAATCTATGCTGGTCGTACCGTGGGGAATCCAGGTTAGAATTGGTCCCCTGCAATCTATGCTGGTTGAACCATGGGGAATCCAGGTTAGAATTGGTCCCCTGCAATCTATGCTGGTTGAACCGTGGGGATTCCAGGTTAGAATCGGTCCCCTGCAATCTATGCTGGTCATACCGTGGGGAATCCAGGTTAGAATTGGTCCCCTGCAATCTATGCTGGTCGTACCGTGGGGAATCCAGGTTAGAATTGGTCCCCTGCAATCTATGCTGGTTGAACCGTGGGGAATCCAGGTTAGAATTGGTCCCCTGCAATCTATGCTGGTTGAACCGTGGGGAATCCAGGTTAGAATAGGTCCCCTGCAATCTATGCTGGTTGAACCGTGGGGAATCCAGGTTAGAATTGGTCCCCAGCAATCTATGCTGGTTGAACCGTGGGGATTCCAGGTTAGAATTGGTCCCCTGCAATCTATGCTGGTTGAACCGTGGGGATTCCAGGTTAGAATTGGTCCCCTGCAATCTATGCTGGTCGTACCGTGGGGAATCCAGGTTAGAATTGGTCCCCTGCAATCTATGCTGGTTGAACCGTGGGGAATCCAGGTTAGAATTGGTCCCCTGCAATCTATGCTGGTTGAACCGTGGGGAATCCAGGTTAGAATTGGTCCCCTGCAATCTATGCTGGTTGAACCGTGGGGAATCCAGGTTAGAATTGGTCCCCTGCAATCTATGCTGGTTGAACCGTGGGGAATCCAGGTTAGAATTGGTCCCCTGCAATCTATGCTGGTTGAACCGTGGGGAATCCAGGTTAGAATAGGTCCCCAGCAACACTGTCAAGTCCAAATAAGTCAGCCTGACCTTTTCATCTTTTCATGTTTGCTTTTTTCAGTTTGTAGGCAATGCTGTGCAAAGGCTACTTGATGTAATCTATATTCTCCATCATGAGCGTTCCACAAATTATTAATTAAGAACTAATTAAGAACTAGGTAAAATAAAAATTCAAATCAATAAAAACAGATAATTAACATGATTAGTAGTCTTTTAACAAGAAAGTCCAACTTGATTTTAGGCGCTTAATAGTACAGCCCAATGTGATGCAACAACTACAACTACAACTACTACCACAACTCCTACTACAACTCCATCTCCTACTACTACAACTCCAACTCCATCTCCTACTACAACTGCAACTGTTCCACCTACTACCACCCCATCATCTACTACCACTGCATCAGCCCCTGCTAATGCAAGACATTCGTCAGCGGATTGTGGTGGGGTGAGCGGAACGAGCATGCAGACTGAGATTGACACCGGTTGCATTACAACTAGTTCTGCTAGTAGTAATATCGTAGACACTCTTACCTCACAATCTACTAACTCTTTGAAAACTACTGCTACACAGATGACTACTAATACTGCTGTGACACGTACTAACAAATCTGTTTCGAATGTTACTGCTACTGCTACTGCTTTGGAAAATGTTGCTGATGTGACAACTAATAATGCTGCTTCCTATGGTAAAATTTCACAAAGTGACAGACCGATGGTGTTAACGACTGTGTTTGCAAAAATAATATCAACATTGCATGAAAACACAAAAAAAGGGACATCCATGGACAAGACAGCCATTAACTCACTCAAACACACAACACCAAGAACCCAGCCTGATGACAGGAATGTCCAGTATCACATTGCCGATGGCAACACAGCTTCCAGGAAGTCTGGAATCGCAGGAACAGCAGCATCAAGTCTCTTGGAAGGTTTCCTGTGTGATGTAAATGACTATGTTTCTCTCAGTGTCGTAATATGAAAGTCTGCTTCAGTTGACTGTTTTAAACACACACCGACTCTGCAACAAGGTGGACAGTTCAATAGGCGTGCGTGCGTGCGTTTGTGCACCATCAGAGGAACAGATATAACAAGACCAGGTTCTTACAAATAAGAAGCAGCTGAAAAATATATTATTCCTGAATGATCAGTTGACCAGTCGAAATTGGAACATATAAACAGAAGTCCTGTTCGGTGCATGAAATACGGGTCGTTATACACTACCTGCTCGATAACGCATGGCCTGGATTGGTTGTCGTAGATATCTGTCCCCTTGTTTGCTGCACTCCTTCTTCTCAAGTTTTTCTTTATGGGATGTTTTGTTGTTCTGTTTTGTCTAGATGGATTAGTCACTAGCGTGTCTGTACAACTGTAGTCTGACCTGCCGGACACCTAAACACTGCTTGCAGACATTGCACATTGCAAGTGTGTGTGTTATGTGAACGCATAAATGCAACATCCTTTTCTTGTCATTTTAAGAATTATCAAATTTCAGAGTTTTAAGACATTGTTACAGCTGTTGGTCAGAATATTTGGAAAGTTGACACTTCGACATTCTCCAAATAGTGTTTCTGGAGGCTGTCTGACGATAAAAGTGGTTGTTTTTTAAATTTGGCTGCTCTGTTGCCCCCAAAAGGTTGACTCTTGACCGAAGTAGTGAATCGAAATCACATGTAATTGTTTGCCACATAGCATTCACATCCATCTCTGTTCAATTATTTCACTCATCTTCTTTGGTGGTTATGTGATGTTTTTGATGTTGTAGCACATGGGTGGAGGATATTACTGGATGCATATTTCGTGGCCATGACATTTTTATTTTTTTTGTATGAAAAAATTGGGTGTTCTTTATCTTCTTTTCAATAGTATACAGCACATCTATTGTGAAGCGGGGCAGTCGAGTAGTCGAGTTAAAGCGTTTGCTCGTCGAAGACTCGGGTTCGAAGCCCGACATGGGTACAATGTGTGAAGCCCATTTCTGGTGTCCCCCACCATGATATTGCTGGAATATTGCTAAAAGCGGCGTAAAAACCATACTCACTCTCTCACAATATTGTGAAGCAGACAGCCTGAAAATGTATCTTGACATGAATCAATGTAGGGGTGGGGATTTTGAGCCGAGTTGTGTCCCTTTGATTACCAGGATCTGCTAATGAGGGTTTTGAATCCCACATTCATTTGTGATCCTTTGGTCTCAGCACCAACCATACCCATGCTTAAGGGCTTCATCAAAGTGGAAAATATCTACAAGGTGCTTCACTTTGGTCTTACCTTATTCATTAAGCTTTTCTGACTCAAATGTCATACACTGAGTCTCATCCTTTCGGTGTGCCAGAAACTTTGATTGTGGGTTTGAATCCCAGATTCGTTCTGATTGTGTTTCAAGGTCTGTCAGCACCATTCTGTGCTTGTGGGTTTCACCAAAGTGGTAAAAGACAGAGGCCTGCATCACTTCACCCACTTCAACCACTTCAATATTTAACCGAAACGCTGTTTAATGCTGCATCACACAAAACTCACTCACTCACGCAATATCCAATATGAAATCCAATGGCTGCACATTGTGACACCTTCAACAGTCTTCTTGTAAAAACCGTCTTTGTTGCCTTCTACACTGTTCTGTTGTTTAACCTTCCATGTATATTTATTGTCTGATTGGAGACAGTTGATGGATAGGGCTTCAAGGTTTTCAGATATGATATTCAGGAATGACTACAAAGTGCGCAGCCGTGTTAGGGCCAAGGATAGGTTCCCAGTGCTTGTTGTCAGAGGGTGTAGGTAGGTTCCCAGTGCTTGTTGTCAGAGGGTGTAGGTAGGTTCCCAGTGCTTGTTGTCAGAGGGTGTAGGTAGGTTCCCAGTGCTTGTTGTCAGAGGGTGTAGGTAGGTTCCCAGTGCTTGTTGTCAGAGGGTGTAGGTAGGTTCCCAGTGCTTGTTGTCAGAGGGTGTAGGTAGGTTCCCAGTGCTTGTTGTCAGAGGGTGTAGGTAGGTTCCCAGTGCTTGTTGTCAGAGGGTGTCGGTAGGTTCCCAGTGCTCGTTGACGGAGAGTTGATGTAGGTTCCCAGTGCTCGTTGACAGGGTTGAGATAGGCTCCCAGTGCTCGTTGAGAGAGGTTTGAGATATGTTCCCAGTGCTTGTTGACAGGGTTGAGATAGGCTCCCAGTGCTCTTTGACAGAGGGGGAGATAGGCTCCCAGTGCTCGTTGACAGAGGGGGGAGATAGGCTCCCAGTGCTCGTTGAGAGAGGTTTGAGGTAGCTTCCCAGTGCATTGTGCTTGTTGGCAGAGGGGGGGAGATAGGTTCCCAGTGCTTGTTGACAGAGTATCATGTCGTCACCTTGCTGTATCGTTTCATCCTAGCTCCCAGTGCATTGGGCTTGTTGACAGAGAATTGAAAAATATCAGGGATCATTAATATTTTTGAGGATAGTTTTTGGACAGTGAAAACTGAACATAACATTTCATAAAAATATCCCCCAAAATATTCATGACCCAAAAGTTTTGTCCGCCAGTATCAAAGCGAAACACTGGTTCACGTAAATATATTCTCTTGATGATTTCCAAGCAAACATAGAGTTTGTTTTGTGTACATGTTTCTAACTGTTTCTGGAAAGGATATTTGTGAAATAAGAGCCAGTCCTGAGGCATGTGAAGACAGAAAACCAACAGCTGCACATATCTGGCTTCACTTGTATCCAGCTTATCCTGTTCTTTGCCAATCTTTCTCTACAAGTTATATGGCTTAGACTAAAATCTTTCTGGCAGCAAAACAATTTAATTGAATGACAACCTCTTGGAGTCATTTGTGTGTTCATAAACATGCTTATGGGCACCTTGTGTGTCTACGAATGTTTAGTTTCCAATGTTTGGATGGTTGCATGTAGTGTGTGAAGTAGCCCCCTGTGCTAGCAAAATTTCAGTCGAGCTGAAAGTTCTGAAATGCGCCAAGCCTGACTGGCTACTTTTTTTGCATGCACACCTCTCAGTTGATTATCATAAACATAAGTTTTACCATTTCTCTATCAATACAACCATAAAATATATACAAGCAATAAAATTAATGTCCTTAACGAAAAGATGTTGCGAGTTTAGAGTTATCCTCTTTCATCTTGTTTGGGTGACTTGTCACTGTAACAACGTGTATAACAAACATGTTTTGATTGGTTGTTATTTGTAGCTTAACCAATCATAAGCTGTGTTACTTAACAAACTTTGACTGCCAATGTCAATTATTGTAGGGATGAAAAATACAGCTAGCGAAATTTGAAACTGGCTAGTAACTTTTAAGGCCCCTGGTCAGCAGTACCTTGGGACTATTTCACACACGGGTTGCATGTATTCAAAGAAATTGTTTTGCTGCTATCTAATTTCAAAAGATAAGGACAGTTATTTATGCGACTAAATGCAGTAATTGCTTGGACAGGAATAACAGGATGTTTTTTCTTACTTCATTTTATTTGACAAAAGATTCATCTGTGGTGGGGAACTATTTTTTCTTATTATATGACTATATATTAATGATAACAAATTTCTTTCTTTCTTTCTTTCTTTTTTTTATAAATTCAAATATATATATATATTTATAGTACTGTGAGAGCCTACCAACATGGACTCCCTGAAAACAAGTGCCAAGCATGGGTTAACTTTCAGGGGTGGTCGGGTAGCCTAGTGGTTAAAGCGTTCGCTCGTCACCCTGAAGACCCGGGTTGATTCCCGACATGGGTACAATGTGTGAAGCCCATTTCTGGTGCCCCCTGCCGTGATATTGCTGGAATATTGCTAAAAGCGGCGGAAAACCATTCTCACTCACTCATTAACTTTCACATGCATTTGAATTAAGCACACCATATTAGCTATTGGTTAATTCATTAAATGTTTAGGGCGGTGAGGTAGCCTTGTGGTTAAAGCTTTTGCTCTTCACGACGAAGACCCGGGTTTGATTCCCCACATGGGTACAGTGTGTGAAGCCCATTTCTGGTGTCCCCTGCTGTGATATTGCTGGAATATTGCCAAAAGCGGCGGAAAACCATACTCACTCACTCACTCAATAAATGTTTTGTTAATTAATGTATTGAGGTAACTCAGATTAAGCTGGGGAATCATTTTGTAGAATAAAGCAGCTGCCATGTCTGAGGAGAGTTTGGGTGTACCACCGTTATTGCTTGTAATTCACCTTGTTATCACATCTTCTAATCATTACAATACACCTCTCTGCAAAAAGATCTGGGCTCACTTAGCGCTAAGACTATTGTACGCCTATGTTAAAGTATGGGAGTTACAATCATCTTAGCGCAATACTGTCATGACAGGGCCACATTTATTTATACGATTCTACTTACAGAAGTCAGATTTGGTGATATGAATGCTTTACTCACTCGTACCATGAAGTTAGAATCCTTTATGGTGATTGGCTGATTAGACAGTCCATGTGACCTGACCTCCAGGGGTCCACAGATCTTTATGCAGAGAGGTATCACATTAGAGTTAAAGATCCGGTGTAAATGAGATTGGGGCAGATGTTTGTATTTTACAGTAGTCAGGAGATAAGTATATTTCCAGTATGAGGTACCTGGATGGTTGTAGAACAGGCATCTGTAGTCTATGGTACTGTGAATCACTGCACTGATTTGCTGAGTGATGAACGAACTTGTTAATAACTGGGCTGTTTAATAACCTTGGATGTTTAGTATAGGGAGATATTTGATAAATACGGATGTTTTATAACCGTGAATAAATGGGGATGTTTTATAACTGTGAATGTTTTTCTTTTCCGCAGAATAACACAGAAGGACTATGCAAGAACCCCAACAGTAAGTGCTTTGTGTTTGGGGTTCCTAGAGCTGCCTCTGTGGTCTAGTGGTAGAGCGAAGGGTCCGGGGTTCGATCCCCGGCCGCGTCATACCAAAAGACGTTAAAAGATGGTACTTGTTGTTATCCTATTTGGCGCTCAGCATTAAGGGGCTAAAACAAGGACTCGTCGGCTCGGAGTCAGTATACTGTGTCTGGGTGGGGTATTTATGTTAAACTGCGGCATGGTATCTCAGTGAGCTAGCACTATAAATCGGCACCAGTCCAGACTAGTACAAGCAGACACACACACATGCATGTCGCTATATAAGTGCTATAATCTTGGACGTGATGTTAAATCCAATTTGTACTAGTCCGGACTGATGCCGATTTATAGTGCTAGCCCACTGAGATACCATGCCGCAGTTTAACATGAATACCCCACTCAGACACAGTATACTGACTCCGAGCTGACCAGTCCTTGTTTAAGCCCCTTAATGCCGAGCGCCAGACAGGGTAACAACAAGTACCATCTTTACACGTCTTTTGGTATGTCGCGGCCAGGGAATGAACACCGGACCTGTTCTATTTATAGTCAGAGCTCCAGATAAGCTGCGTATCTGCGTGAAATACGCATCAGAAATGCAGAAATACGCAGTAAAATATAATCCAAGCGTATGAAATACGCAACGAACATTACAGATACGCTACAAAAATAAAATTTGTGCGTATCATCAAAATATTGTGAAGTAACCCTGCGTATTTGATTAGCAAATCAGCAACTTATTTTGAAATTATAAACGGGCATTCCGTCAACCTTGCCAAACTCCACGATGACAGTCACATCATGATCATTTGCCATCACACTTTCGTGTGGAAGTATCGTGGTATTTTTGAGTCCTATAAAGCTCTCGAACCCACACGACACCAGTTTGCAGGGACTAGATGAATAGTGTTTTTAAATATTTAACTTAAATACCCACATGTGTAAAAACTAGTGGGTAACAGAAATTTGAATACGCAGATAGAATTACTGATACCCAATGATTTTAAAATGCAAGGGTAAAATACCCACAACACCAAAAGCTTATCTGGAGCTCTGTATAGTGTATTGCGATTTCACAAACTGACGATTCAAGGACCATGTGTACCTAATGCACTAAGTATCGATAATACCATAGGTATCAATGAATCGTTACAACCCTATTTGTGGCTCTATTTTAGATAAATGTGATGTCAATCTTAACTGCAGTGTGTTGATGACTTGTTCCAGATTTCCCTGTTGGAGCAGTGGTGGCCATCGTGATCCTCCTCCTGGTGGTGTTTGTGGGTGTAGGAGTGTGGGTGTTCTACGCTTACACACATCCTACGTCGGCTTCAGGGATGTGGCTGATGGAGGTAAGTCTGTGCTGTCCGAGACCTGGGTGTTGGTGTCAGATTGTGGACGTAAATCTCGTGACCCGTGAAGATTCTGGGGTAGAATAGGTCTTCAGCAACCCATGCTTGCTGTAAAAGGCGACTATGCTTGTCGTAAAAGGCGACTAACAGGATCGGGTGGTCAGGCTCGCTGACTTGATTGATACATGTCATTGATCCCAACTGCGTGGATCAATGCTCATGATATTAATCACTGGATTGTCTGGTCCAGACTCGATTATTTACAGACCGCCGTCAAATAGCTGGAATATTGCTGATTGCAGCGTTAAACAACAAACCAACCAACCAACCAACCAACCAACCAACCAACTTAAATCTAGTAAAGACTGAAAAATCAAACCTTCTGGGTCTAACAATGACTCTTACTGTTTTGTTTGCAGCATCGCCCAAGCCAGATGAAGGAAAAGATTGCCAACATCAAGTTCTGGAAGTCGAGCACCCCTACTGGCACGAAATATCAAGTTGAGTCCGAAGCGTGAGACTGTAGTAGCAAGGGGAGACCACTCCAGAAGATGATATTCTAACTATTTTACACTATGATAAAGGCCACAGTTTAGTTTAGTGGGTTGCATAAAGTAAGTAAATATCAATATAAGACATGTACTGTTGACAATAAGGACAATTTTCAGTATAGATTTCTAAATACTTATACATAACTGTCAAAGACAGTATTTGATCTCACTCTTATTAGCGTAAGAAAAGTTTCACGTGGGTGAGATGTATCATAGCAAGGCTTGGTAATAACAATGTGCAAATTCCCATGGAAATCATAATGAAGACCAACATTTAGGGTTTGGGAGCAGATTTCACAAGCATTTCCGCTGTGAGGTACTGCCCAAGGTCGTTTTGGTCCGTGTTTATGCAGCGCTGTGATTGCACCTCACATTGATGTAGTGTTACTGTATTGCTGTATCAAAGTGTCACCTTATATGGGGTGACTAATCAGTGTCATCTGGTTCATCTTGAACAGATTCTTGGGCAGATGTTTGTCACAAAGCCAGCAGGGAGCTCATGATCACCCTTCGGCCATGTTTTGTGCTCATCAGTTGCCATCTTTTCTAAAGAAAGACCAATTAATGCTCAATCGCCATTCATTGAACTTTCAATATTTCTTCATTTTTGTCTAACGATGGCACATTATGTGTGTCAGTGAAATGATTTCGAGGTTTAATCATCTTAAACCACACAAGTGCATTCTGATTCCTTTTTCAACAGTTTTCGAGCTCTGGGAACATATTTTTCGATATAGCTAGAACATGCATATTTTAGAACCATCTAACAAATATGGCCGACAGGTGTCCACCGCTACGCTTCAAGTGTACCTAATTATTTTATTATACTCTATTCTCCTGTGAATAAGCCTTTATGCGGGACACTAGAAGAGCTCTCTGCTGGTGACACAGATACCAGTGTTTTGTATCATATTTCTCCATCATGGGGTGCAAGTTGTTGTATATATGAATGTGTGTTGATTCCAAGATGAGGTAAAAATCTGTGATATTATCGACAATGAAGGCGATTACACAACATAGAGGTAGTCTGATGTTTCAACAATGTGAACATTTTGTTCAAGACATGAATCGCTTCACTGGAATGTTTTGCAAAACAATAATTTGCAGCGTAGCATTCAGTTGGTATGATAAATTTCTTATGAATCAGAAATATTTTTGGCTTTCTCAATTCCATGTTGATCGAGTGTTTTTACAACTAGTTGCAGGTTTAGGCCCCCAAATGAATTCTTATCTTATTTTTTACATCCTTTGCAACACTTCTTGCTTTTAGAACACATCAGAGTATATTTGAACGAAAGGTGTTTGTAAACTGCAGTTCGGTTTTAAGTTGATTTTTAAGAATTGATGACAAGACGAGTTGTTTTAAGAACTGTCACCTGGAACATTTGTTCCTGTGAAACTGTTCCTTTATCGCAGTCACAAGAATTATACTACTCAAAAGAAGTTAAAGAACACCCCTTTCTTGATATTACCATAGTTAATCTGTCCTGCATGACAGATAAGCTACAGTAATATTAAAGAAACATGTTGGTCCTTAACTTCATTGAGTTGTATGGATCCGCTTATAGAACAATGCCTGCGTGAAATGTCTATGCCATAATGAAACAATATTTTTATATTTAGTCTGCCTGATGATCTTGCTTCACCTTCAATTTTTAACTGTTTGTGACTTATGAACATATCAATTTTTTACCTATTTGCGCATGTTTTTGTAGATGTTATGAGGTTGTTCATCATACCTTGTTGGGGTTTATCTTACAAGGAACAGTTTATCCATGGCAGATCTGACCATTTTTTTATTTGCACACATGACACATGACGACATATGCCGATCTTTTAGCACTTTTTACAAACAACAGCAATAACTACAACCCCTAAAAAAGCAATGTGACAAAATTAAGTTTCTTTCAACCTCGCTGCATATTCACTAGAGACACTCTCAATGAAAATATTATATAGTACAAGGTGTTTTGTGTTACGAGAGACTTACAGTGGTTCAAGCGTTTGACTTGGCCCATGTTCGATCCTCGCCATCGAGACAGTGTGTGAACTCCAAAGTCACTCACTGACCAATGTGTACATGGCTACAGGAGACCAATGTCAACAAGGTGTACATGAATACTGCATTGTTTGTGTATATAGGGCAAGTACCTGTTATCAATAATGTATAAGGTGATTGTGGAATGCGACATACATATTTGTATAAATTGAAGACCCTTTTCTGCACTTCCTACCACAAGAGATTTCGATTCTCGTAGGTTGGAAATGTTTGTGTTAGTTTTTGTGTTGGACTGATGAGGATGACGAGAGTATTGTTTTCTTTTTGGGTTTTATTGACACTGTTGATCATTTTTTGTGTTTTTGCAATTCTACCACATTCCTATTTTGCTTTGTGTCCTTGACAAGATGTCTTGATTCGCCCCATAAGGGTGTCTTGATGCGTTCAGTGAAGGTTTTGTGATACACTTAACAAGATGTCTTGATACATTTAACAGAAGGGGTGTTGTAATACACTCAGTAGGCTTGTTATATTTGCCACACATATGAATCTCACCCTCCGGAACAAAGCTAACAACTCACTCACTCACTCTCTCACTCACTCACTCACTCACTCACTGAGGTAGTCCGAGTGTCTTATCAGAATTACACATAAGCTGCGTATTTGCGTAAAATACCCCTCAAGTCTATTCACGACCCAATTACTTAAACTCGCTTGTTTGAAAACATCACACGTAAATACCCAATGAAGCTTTTCAGCATGCATACAACAGAGCTAATTTCCGAAAGACAATTACGAGCTAATTTACTTTCCGAGTCAAGCCTATATTTAGAACCGTTATTTCATTTTAAAACATTACCGGTATTTCACTTTGGAAGGGGGGGGGGGGGGGGGGGGAGGAGGATCTCAAAATGCTTACCCATTTGAGGAAAAACGCAATAGATTGATGAATAAATGAGTGAAAAAATATTGGTTACCGAATGAAAAATGTAATAACCCAATTAAAATAGAAACCTTCAATTAAAAACTCATTTGCTCAAAATGTTATCTGGAGCTCTGGCCTCCTTCACTGGGACCGTCTATACAAAATTCACCAAACACCAAACAAGTCTGCATTTGTATGGGCTCTGACTGGTCGGCCTCATCATCAGGAATACCAGTCGCTAAACTGGACAGGTATTAGACACCAACTAGACAGGTATTAGACTCCAACTGGACAGGTATTAGACTCCAACTAGACAGGTATTAGACCAGCGTTGGGATTCTGACCAGAGCCCTTTTTCATGGAGAAATCTCAGCACTATGGTTGCCGTAAGTTTATGTTATTGGAGCTACGACAATCTTTGTGCTATGACTGGTGTAAATCTGTGAGACTGTGGGAGTTACGACATACTTAGCGCTACAAATGTCACAACTGTACATCAAACTGAAGGAGTTAAGACATTTGGAAACAGGGCCCTTCTGGTTACTTCCAATTTCTACACCTTCCCACCTGAAAGCTTTATGTCAGATTGGGTAGGTGGGTCAGGCTACGTGATTCAGCCGTTTGTTTGTCCAATGTCATAACAGCTTATATTTACACTCCATCATCGAACAATATCAACTCCGGATATTTCAACAATTACGCATAATCAATGTCACAGAGTCTGAAAAGTTTTTGGTCCCAGTGGTGTAAAGATAGGGGCCATAATATGATACATACTGCAGTACAGACGTTGTTATGTCAGCTTGATTCCATCGTTAGATACTGGGAGGTTGCTCTACTACTGGACATCCTCGAACAACTGGTGTTTTGTATCCAGGTACCGCCATTGTGAAGTGATTGTTCCGCAAAGCAGTCTCACCCTAACACTCAAACTGGATGATGTTGGAAATTTGCAACTGTTGTTCCGGAATAGCAGCAACATGTTTAGTTAATCAGTGGGGTGACGTATGCGGTTTATTCTAATAATACAGACACATTTAATATAAGTGGAGGGGCTTTTTATGTATGCAATGTTCGTTGGGATTAAGTGATAATTATTTCTTACATCTGAAATGTGTCAATGCAGTGTAAAAAGAAAGAAGCCTTGAGTTGCCAGACACAAGTGACAAACATCATGACCAAAAATCAAACTATCAAAGATTGAAATGTTGACTTTGATTATTGAAGCAACATCGTAATAATCCCACTTGTGACATCCTTAGCTTGTCAACTTGCCAACGATATCCTTAGTTTGTTGAGGATGTCCTAAGTTTGTCAGTTTGCCAACGATATCCTTAGTTTGTTGAGGATATCCTAAGTTTGTCAGTTTGACAACGGGGTAGATGGTTCAGCAACAAAGCACCCACCTCCCGATCAAACTTGTGTGAATCCCAGACAATTACATGATCTACTGTCTGTCTGTGTGTCCTCATGCCAGAGAGGTGACTATCCTTGTCGTAAAAGGCTACTAACGGGATCGGGTGGTCAGGCTCGCTGACTTGGTTGATGCATGTCATAGATCCCAATTGCGTGGATCAATGCTCATGATGTCAAGCACTGGATTGTCTGGTCCAGACTCGATTATTTACAGACCGCCGTCATATAGCTGGAATATTGCTGAGTGCGTCGTAAAACAACAAACCAACCTCATGCCAGAACTTGCTCAAAACATGTTAGACACAGACTTCCATGAACATGATGAACTTGTAGATGCATGTTCTCTACAGATGGCATAATTATGTTAAGACATTTTGAAGCAGCTGTAGGTTCATATTTCAAGTGTGTACAGATTAAGAAGCGACCAACAGAATTGTTATTATTTATGGAAGTTTACTCTGTTGTGTTTAATGTACTGTGTTAAGGTATTTATGAATGTATTTATAAGTGTTATAATATGTAAAAAGGTCAAGTTTGAAATGAAATTTGTTTTAGAATCTTCTTTTTTGCAGGTGGTTAATCTCATTTTAAGACTGGAATGATGTTATTTGTCGACTGAACTCTTTTTACTTGTACAAAGCCCATGTTTCTGAGTTTGTTACAGTCGACGTGAATGAGCTATGAGTTTGTGATCTCTAACACTAACAGCATATCAACTAATACTTTATTTTATGAGGCTGTATATATCCGAAGTTTTTACTTTCATGAAAATGTAATTCTTTCGTCATTTGCTATCAGTACAAAATGTTTGAATGTGTGAAGCAAAGAAACGCATTTTAGCCGTCCCGGAGATTTTGCACTTGGATGTTTGTTGTTTCTGGCAATAACTGTTTCCCCTTTCTCAAGTAACATGCTTCCCCCACATTTTAGACTCATTTTATTTACAGGTTTTGTATCAAAGTTTCCATTTGAAATCTGTATATCTTGCCGTGATAATCAAACAAATTTTGTTTGAATTTTAGTAATCCTGGTAATTATGTTAAACTGTCACCATGGTCACACTGGAGATCATTCATGCCATGTTTTGTTATTCAGATGTGTTATAGTTTGTCTGTAAAGAGCAAAGACCCATGGAACATTCAAGTCTGCAGCCTGGGGCTGCTCAACAGGATATCCTTATATAATTCACATGCACGACACGTACGTGACGACATAAGTTTGTATATAATGGACTAACTTGGATGTATAAATTCTTTGAAGATGATGTTATTTTTGTATCAATCTGAATTGTTGACGAGTGATCATATATGTGTTTGTCAAGCAAGTTTTTTAACACTCGTAGGCTACTGACATTGACTCAGTATGGTGACACTCATTGCTGGTGTACTGTTACAAATACTCATCAAGGGCTCATAGGCACCACAGTGAGGCCCCAACCATGTTTAGTTAGAGGCAGAACTGTTACAAATACTCAACTGGGGCTGACATCTAAGACAAAATTGTTATGGATGAGCAACTTCTTTATTACAATTGGGCGACGTTTCAGTGTAGATTCTAACACCTTTATCAAGCAAATAATTACCCCATGATATTGCTGGAATATTGCTAAAAGCGGCGTAAAACCATACTCACTCAATCACTTGCTGGGCACCTGGTGATCCAATAATCAAAAGGGGAGACAACCAGTCACCATCTGAGTCAATCGCAGTGGTTCACCAAACCATCGTTAAGCTTCTTTGAGTTGAGAGTGACGACTCCATAATTCAGGGCACAGCTGGTGAGCATAGCCCCATTAGCAGATGGTTATGTCATTCGATCAGGGATATCAATTCCTTTGTAAAACCTGACATCTAATCTGAATTCTTTTTAGAAATAAAATGTTTGTGATAATTTTGCATCAATAGCATGTGGCACTGGAGGATTGGTTCCTTTCACCTCTTTCTTATTCAAAATTAGTCAAGGTGTCAGATAATATTTTTCATGCAATCACATTAGACAACATGTTAGATATGACCTTGACAAATGGCAATCAAAGAAAGTTTGTTGTATATATTCTTTGCCAATGATGAAATATTAGTCAGTATTGTCATTACTCTGTTAGTTGTGTTTATTCATTCACCAGTTCAAAGAAGCTTACTTTGAGTTCTAAGGTCAGACTTGTTTTTTTAACTTGGTTTACGAATCCGACCCTCAAAAACTGAAACATTTTAATGTATATTTTTAAAATTAAAAGCAGTGTTTTTTTCATAAATCCGCTAACCAGAAATAAGTAAAATGTGAAAAATACTCAATACAAAGCATTCAATAATAATAACCATAATTAAAACATTTTGAAAATTTATTTTTTTACAAAATTGAAATCAATGAATTAGGACAAATCACAAGAGGTAGTAAATCATATATATTTGAAATTTGGAGTTTTTTAATTATTATTTTTTTGAGCTATCCGATCTGAATTTTGGGGCTACAAATCTGTAAACCAAACAAAAAGAAGTCTCTCCTACCTCAGTATGACCAACAAGTGTTGCTTGCACTACCATAACTACCTACCACTTGTAACCCTACGTTTGTGTGTGCTGATGGTACCGGTAATACTGGTGTCCCACGTGATGGCAGTCACGCCAATCAACATGAACACTGGACGAGAAACAGGTCTAGGATCATTGTGTCCTGTTACATATCGTACTGTAACTGGGAACATATGTAGCGGAGAGTTATTTTAATGTATATAAACAGACAAGATTGTGTATCCCGTCCATCTGGTGAATGTTTTGTACTGTGTTTTCCTCATGGGACTAACATGATTATCTCCCTCTATAAGAGTTATCTTCTCATGACATCCAATCAAGTTCTATCCTTTCAGGACACTGCACAAACCAGTCACCACAGAACAAAAATTTAAACAGATATTTTATGAGTTTGACAGAATGCGCCTGAATGTATCATTTTGAAGATGTATGGGCTTTCTTGGCATAGAATATTCAGACACCAGATTGCAGCTTATATTTTCAAGGGAAGATAACTCTAAAAGGGGACAAAATTCTTACCTATTCTCCCATGGTGACACCACCTTGTCACCAGATCCTATAGGAACAATACTAGCCTGTACTAGAATTATATGTACCATTGATGTAAGTACCAACACAACTTCTCTCCGACCTTTACAAGTCCAATAAACATTCATCATTATTAGCTATGCTTTGTTGTTGCTGACCAAGTGGCCTTGTCATCTAAGGCACTGCAAATCGCTGTGCAGAGTTGCATCCCTTTGGCATGCTGGAAACGTGACAATCATGTTAATAGGATAAGTGTTATTTGTTTTGTTTGTTTGTTGTTTAACGCCATACTCAGCAATATTCCAGCTATATGACGGCAGTCTGTAAATAATCAAGTCTGGACCAGACAATCCAGTGATTGACATCATGAGCATCG